AAAAATGAAGGAATTTGTGCCAGAAATAAATTCTTCAACAAATAATCGGGACGATTCCGAGTGAGATACATGTTCAGCCTGCTTAGCAACAAATATCTTATGTATTTACGGTTATTTTTGCGGAATTTGACCTGATATGATTGACTCTTTTTGTTCCTAAAATTTTGCAATCGAAATTTTTACAATTACCACTTTGCCGACCTTGAAATTTTTATAATTTCCACTTTGCCGACCTTTTTCGAATTTTATCGAAAAATGGCTAGTTTCAGAATTTTATCCATCAGCAAGCGATGAGGATTGGGATTTAATCGTGATTGGATCCGGACTGTCCGGATTGACTGTTGCGAAAGTATTGGCAGCATCGGGGCGGAAAGTATTGGTACTGGAGCAACACGACCGTGCTGGTGGCTCTTGTCACACTTTTGAGCTGGATAAATATGAATTCGACGTTGGTTTGTTTTTATGGCTTATATCAGCTGTTCGTGCATCTTACAAATCTTCTAGGCCAACGACAAATTCTCAACACTTTTTGTAATCAAAAAAGGCGAAATATCTAAAAAAAAAAATCGGACAAAAAAGTGCACGAATGCTCTAAAGAAATTGAAGTCGGATATTGAGTTGACTGGGATTAAGACTAAATCAAAATCTACTTGTTGGGATTTTTCCGCAAAGAGCGCAAAGTTCAGTCCAGAAATGTTTGTTCGATTAAAGAATTCTGTGGCATACATCTGGTGAGAAATAGGAAAAAGCGATTGTGGCCTACTGGATACCTTTTGACCAGAATGATACTTTTTAAATAAGTCGAGAAGCGTTTAGCCGGTTGGGATTTCTTTGCTGAGAAGAATGTAAAGCTCAGCCCCAAAATGCTTCGTTTTTCGAAGAGTTCTCTCGTATACAACTGGTGAAAAAATCGGGAAAAGCGTTCATGATCGACTCGGCACGATTTTACCTGAATGGCACTTTGCAAATGGTTCTACAAGCGGCCAAGCGGTGGTCAAAAGGCGGACAAATGCCAACAAATTTGTGGTATAACAAACAACAGAAGCCGGATGTAAAAAATTTAGCAATACGTTGAAATTTCCACTTTTAAAGTTCCAAGCTTGTCGCATCTTTTTCGAATTCATTTAAACTCGAGTTCTTGGATCATCACAAAAATATCGGGTGCCGTAAAGCTTCTTAGATCAAAAATGGCTTTTGCGATAAAAGGACACTGAATAGAATCATTTTACATGAAAATTTGCCGCTTAATCCGTTCTCGCTTATCTTCGGCAGTGCTCGCCGTCGTCTTCTTGGCACTTGTCCTGAAAAAGCTACTCCCGTAAAATCACGTTTGGGTATTTTCGTGGGTGCAAAGAAGTTCCATATGTTAATTCGGTATCCTGGCAAAGCTTTGATTCTAAATTTCCATCAATTTTGCACTTTTAGGCTTGCATTATGTCCAGGAAATGTGCCCAGGCAAGCAGTTGTACTGCATTTGTTCAGCACTCACTGATTCGCAAGTTCAGTGGCAACAGATGGAGGACCCTTTTGACAATGTGCGTTCTTTTTCAACTTGAAATTTCTTGTAAAAGCCTAATTTACAGTTCTAGAATAATTTCAATGTCCGACTGCAGGTTATAATTGGGGATCGCTGTTATGGACGAACAACTGGTGATAGCAAACATTTTTGCGAACAGTTGAAATCGTGGTTTCCAACGGAAGCGTCGAATATCGATGATTATTTCAGATACGTTTCGGCAAGTTTATTAAGTTTCAACATTTTTAAAAGCAGTACATTTTATTTTATTTAGGTTTCAACATAACATACAGTAGTTTTTAGAAAAACTATCATATTTTTTGATTCACTGGTTTATGCTCTTGCATTTCTCCCATCTCTTCGCAACTAGAATTGGCAAGTTCGAAACGAGTTGGTAATGTTCAACATAACACTGGGAATATCTTGAAGCCGATAAATTTTTTACCAAATACTTTTCACGAATGAATCGCTGAGCTGGTAGTCTCTTCAGGAGACGAAACGAACATTAGGAATGGCAGTAAGTTGACTGCCAGCGTAGCGTTTGTCAAGTCAACTCGAGCCGCATAGTTTGACAACTAAGCCGTGGCTTGCTGCTGATCAAAGTGTCAACGTGAAATTTTTTTTTGTATGAAAATTTATGCACTTGTTACCATCAATAGAGCACATTGCTTTCCCGTTTCGTTCAGCAAACTTTGTTGACGAGGCTTTTGCGTAGCCAGTTTCTCCTCAATGTTTAACCAGTAACTCACTTCGGTTTTTCTTAAGTTCGAGAATGCGGAATTTCTTGAAAAAAGTTGATAAGTTAAAAAAATGTATGTTAGCTAGCTGTTTCTTGGAAAAGTTTCTTGATCGGTTTTTGACTGACAAGCTGATTTTTCCTTTTTTTTTCCTTTTCAGTGCGCTAAAATTTCTTTTAGTGTAACATTTTTTAAGCAATTTTTTTCGTGAGTTTTTTTTAAACCTTTTTTGGCATAAATGTTTTCTTTTTTAGTATGTTTTTATTGTATTTAGTTTTTTCAACACACTATAGTTTTTTCGCATATTTTTTCAATCCTTCCAACCCCCCCCCCCCCCCCCCCCCCCCCCCCCCCCC